CTCTTTCAATTTTTTGGCGGTTTAACTAAGATCTTGGTATGCACCTGATTAAAGTCCATTCAAACAATTCTGCTGCAGTTGACGATTGTTATAGTGTGAGGGGAAAACATTCGCTCCGTTTTGTTATGTCTACAACTAATTTGGAAATGTTGTCTGGAAATTATGTCCAATAAAGAATAGACCGTAGCGCGACTTTAATTAATGGTTCGTATTCAAACTTTCGACTTCAGTTGTTATCTGAATAATCCCGCGCCATAGATTCTTTCGCTTTAAATAAGTTTGACATATCATTCATTATGAGTCTGAAGTCCCGTCCATAATTTTCTAAGAGTAGAGTTCACTGGACCTTAATTTCAATTGCACTTAGCTTGACTTACGCTGATTCAGGACTCAACCTCGCCTAAGAGTAATTGAAACAAAAACGTTTCTCAAAAGTGGCATAAGCCTCTCGACGTTTTCCCTTTATTCTGAGGTACCACTGCTTTCCATGGGAGCGATTATAAGTCACCCTACGCTTTTCCTAAGGCTTCCCCGTCTTCTCATAGGTATTAATACACCCCCTAGTGCTGGGATGCACTTTGAGAGTTAAGTGTATCCAATGCACAAATGCAGAAACCAAGCATATTAAAGAACCGTAACTTTCAGCGCGCTAATTAATCCCTTTGATCAATGCATGCGACTATAATTTTTATTATGGCGCGGGCTCTTCGACAAAATTTTAATGACGATCAACTTACCAAGAGCAAGACAACTTGCAGGCTCCGCATTTAACCTTGTTTGCGTAAAGATTCCTCTCTGGAATGGCGCTTGCTATGACATAAGCGACAGTACTGTTAAACATTGTTTGCGGTTGAACGAATTTCTGAATGAATTTATTTCCCGCCAGTTCAGTTTATTCACTGTCCTTATTATCGGCTCGAAAGTGAAGATGAGATCTCTATGAGTGAGCTATGCACACGATTACGAGCAGTTTATCATTTGATCACTAAGTTCAGCTGTATGTAACCAAACCAGCAACTGCGAGAAAGAGTTGATTCAGTCCGCACTGATCGCGTACTTTTTAACATTGTGTGTCGTTTACATATATAAGAAATATTCACGCCCAAAATACTATTAACAATGATTCTGAGAGATAAACGTTAATTTAATTTTATTGAGAGATTTTTCTTAGTCTTAATCAAGTGCATATTAAGACGAAAAAGGAACCATGAGTTCCGACGTTTCGGAGTGTTCATGACCCCTTTATCAAGGTCTAAATTGCTTAAGGTTACCCTAACCCTGACTCTATCCCTAATCCTCACAAATACATATAAGATCATGCAAATTACAGCACTTACAGCGATTTTGGCGCCAAGAATTAACATCAAATAATTGACATCAAAGAGTGCAAAGATTATGAAAATACTTTCGCCCGAATGTAGTCTGATTGCACGTTGAGATTTGATTTTAAAGCTGTTATAAAAAGAATTTCGTTCACTAAACAGTCAAATTTGTCTCTGCATTTCCTGAGCACTTCGACACGCGAAAGCAGATAGTGCCCCGTCACGCTTTATGGTTAATGAAATGCACATTTGAACTAAAAATTTAGTTTATTTGCTCGCGGCTTTCAGATTTAAATAATAGGTTTTCCAGCCATTGCCCGCACCTTCAAAGCCTATGATTTCCAACTATTTTAACCTATGGTTACTACTACTATGACTACTATTACATTAGTAGAAAAGTTCTCTGAGAAAAGTTAGTTTAAATGCGTCTCAAATCCGCGCGAATAATGCTATGTCACGCATAAGTAATTATTCATCTTTAAGGTCAGATGTTTAGGAGAGACTAATGAGTTATTTCTCATACATGGAATTTAACTAATCTGTGCCGCTATCTCGTAGACCTGTATCTCGTCTCATTCTTTCCGCTTGTCCAAGAAGATCTAAATTTATACCCAACGTGAATTAATGTTGACATTCTCATCCGAGGAGATCTAAATTTACACGCAAAGTAAATGTTGACATGACAACCCGTTGCTCTCTGATATACGGTCCTAAATCTGGACATAGCTACGCTGCTGAACAGTTTCCTATTTCTGAATAAACTGCTATCTTGTTTCTTGAGTGCATTCCTAAGGCATCTCTATTGGTTTTTTATATATTATCAGCTGGAGGACAGACGGATATGTGACGTCCACATGAGAACAATTTTGCTTTGTTTATTACATAAAACAAATGTAATCTACGTTATGGTGGGTCTGTTCATTAATAGATCACAGAGGACTTCATAGAGCAGTAGGAACATCAGTGACACACTCGCCTGCGCTTAGTGTACCGGTTTTGCTGTTCTTACCGCATTATGACTTCATCTGTGGTCTATTACTGAACAGACTTATGGCAAAGTGGACGTTGTGTGACACCCCAAAACATGACAGCGAAAGAGATTTTAAAGATGCTTATGAGTCAAAACAGAGAAAAACATCGCAGGTCATTCTTTTCCATGATGTGCAGAATTAGAGCTCTGGAGAAGATTATCAACTATAAAACATCTAATGCTCTGCAAGACTTGGGTGCCAATCGAGGTATTTCAACCTTAGACGGCATCTCACTTACTGTTCATTATTGAATCAAATTTGTCAAATCCTTCTACTTTTCCATCTTTCAAGACCAAAATCTTCTCGCATTCTTTTATCGTGTTCAAACGGTGGGCTATTGTGATGACTGTGGACTCCTTCAGTTTCTCCCGCACTACATTCCAGATCGTCTGCTCTGTGTCTGGGTCAACATGCGCAGTTGGCTCGTCCAAGACGACGATTTTACTTTGCTGTAGCAGCACACGAGCTAAGCAAATTAACTGCCGCTCTCCGACACTCACATTAGCGCCATGTTCCAGCAGCTCGTAATCCAGCTTGGCGTCAAGCCTCCCGACAAAATCTTTCAGATGTACATCCTCTAAAGCCTGCCATAATTCAGCGTCTTGAAACTTGTCTAAAAAATCGAGATTTTTCCTCAAAGATCCGCTAAAAAGAACAGGACTTTGGCCAAGAATCGAGATACCTCGTCGAGCTTGTTGGAGGCCTATCTCCTTAACTGGAACATGGTCGATGACTATCTCTCCATCAGCATCAGGCATGCGCATAAGAGCTGCTACAAAAGATGACTTCCCAGCTCCCGTACGGCCGGCAACTCCGATCTTTGCTCCTCCTTTAATGCTAAGATTGATATTCTTCAGCACTCGAGGCCCCCCCGGATAGTGCGTCAATGACACATTTCTCAAAACAATACTTCCTCTCCGAGGCCAGTCTTGTAGGGATGTTCGTTCTTCCTCATATCCAGGCTCCCGGTCAAGTTTGGTGTAGGTCATAACTCGCTCAACTGACGTCATGTAGTTTTCCACTTCAGAGGTTTTCCTAACAGCGTATTGAGTCATGGTCAGAGTTTGGATGACGTAAACAAGAGCGAGACCAGCGTAAGCTGAAAAGAAAAACAGGAACTTAAGTCCATAAATTCCGGACTTGTTACTTGTTTTCTCTCCATAGCTCAAAGCATATACCGAAAATTGACAGGGCTAGGTTACCTAACCTAGACACTTGAAAGTTTTCTCAGCACTTAAGCCACCCGAGTGACTCTCACGTTTCTGTCGTGTTTAAAAACTACCCGTTAATGACAGAGCACGTATAGTCACAGTTATTTTATTATTCAGCTGTTCATGCTGTGTTAATACACGACTATATAGATTCTTACTTTACATACAAAGACTCAAGAATTAAGAATCTTGAGCTTACCGGCATCTTGAGATACCAAGATTGCAGCCACAGCAACTGCACCGACTAACAAGGACGCGAGACAATCCAAACGTGCACCGAGCCACCTACCGCTGGACATCACCATAATGTACGCCTGATTATGAACATCTTGATATCTGCGGGGACGAGTTTTTATCACAACAAGTTTTAATAATGGAGTGATTTTTTAATTGATTGTTGAAAATAAACCGAATTGTATCAGCTTTGTATTACTTAACTAAGTGATTGGTCCAATAAACTTGCGCAAAACCAACCGCCTATTGGTCGAACGCGTTTTTCTATTAGTACGCCCGATGCCGTTTCCTTGTTAAAAAGTTAAGTCCTCTTTCACCACTTGTGAACTTTTCTTTTGTTTTCATTGGCTTGTTATTAGCAAATTGTATTTTTTTTTTTAAGATAATCACTCCAAAAAAACCTCAAAGAGATTACACATCTGCACACTGAAGTGAGACCAGAGTCTCCTTTGGCCTGACAATGTAACGGAGCCCTTCAACAAATTCCGCCCGACATTCCACTCCTTTAAAAAGATGTTACTCTCCGAGAAACATCCGTAAGCTTCTAGCTAGCTGTCCGAAAGATCATTTCCTTAACCGCATCTCATTCTTAGGTATTCTCCATTGGCTCAGATAAAGTAAGAGCCGCTAGAGCCGAATTTGTTAACGATATGGATACTTTTTCATTAAAAATAGTAAATTCTCCAAAAATAGCCAGCTCTTAATTGTTCACTATCACAACTACATCATTTATACTAAGTATAACATTTATCAGAAGGAGAAGACGAGTGGCGCTTGACTGTATTTCCTGTTAAACTCATAATGGAGTCCAATTCGGTCGGTAATCACACGAGTGTATTAACAAAATTGGACGACTGCTAAGCGGGAGTCTGATATTTTTAACCACGAGTACTATTAAGGACAGAATTCAACGACATGACGTCTTAGAGAAAGAAACTAGACAACAATTATACGTTTTCATAAAAAAAAGCTCAGCGAAATTCGCGACAACAGCGCGCGTATATACTTACACGTAAGCATGTCTTGTCAACTGTCCTATTACACTGATTAATTACGAGCATGCCAATCACATTCGATAAATTTGTTAAAGTTTTGATTAATCGTGAAATTTCTGCGTTGCAAGATCCTAATGATTGACCGTCCATATTATGCGTCTGTTAAAATCCTATCAGAAGGACGAAAACCACACATAGCAATTACTGTAGTTTTTCCACCGGTAGTGCCCTTCATGCCTCTTTCGGATAGCTTTGCTCCGCGACCGTGCCTCGTATACGGAAAGGTCCACTTGCTGACCAGTGTCTTAGCACATACCAGATAGGATTGCAAGAGACGCGTGATACAATTTCATGTATAGGCGGTAGATAAAAAATAAATACCTCATAGAAAATGAGCAATCATAACTCATTTGTGCTCTGTGTACTTATCGGCTCTGACACCACACACTGAATCAATGTCTCTGACATACCTGTAAAGTGCATCCACAAAATCTCTCTGTCTTCCTCTCGTACGAATCGTGTCCAGTCCTATCAAAGTCTCTGAAAAATGAGCAAACACAGGACTTCGGGATATCGACTCTAACCTCTTTAGTTCTCTGGCAGTCTTCAAGTAATAATTGGATAGAAAAACGACCAGCACGGAAATTGGAATAACAAGAAACACCAGCCAAGCATTTGTGGCAACTGTTACCAGAATTTGGGCAAATATCACCAAGAGCATCTGCATTGTCGTCAGGAATGTTTTGGGTAACATCTCATCTACGCAGCCAATATCATTGGAGAAGCGATTAAGGATTCTTCCCACTGGATTTGAATCGAAGAACAGGACAGGTGCTTGTAAAATGGCCACAACCATTTTATCGTGAAGACGCTCGGCGCACTTTAGACAAACATGCAAGAATCCATAAGCCCAAACGATACTAAATGTGAAACACGCCCCAACTAAACAGGCGAAGACAGATAGATATGTCTTGTCCTTCTGATCCTCTGGGTCTAACCTTGCAAGGAATGAGAGCCACAAGTCTGGAGCAGCTATGATGGCTGAAAAAAACATCATTAATATGAAGTGGCCGAAATGTATTTCTATAGGATCACTCGGTTGAACAATGTAAGATTTATTGGGCCTAGAGACAACTCGCCTGGATTAGTTACTACAGTTGGTATCCTGGGAATGTTTTTGTAAACACCATAACGTCACAGAAAAAATGAAGCAGTCAACCATGTTCCATATAATATTGTTAGAAAACTTCATTTGGTCTCATAAAGTTACTTTGTAGAGCGAGTGTTTTTTTTTAAACTTTTTTTCAGGCGAGTGGAGACAAGTGCAAGGCAAACGCGTGGAGAAAAACACCAGCTCTTCCATTCGCACGTGACTCGCCATTCACTCGCGCTTGCCTCTCGCTTGTACGAGCAAGTGAGATATCAAGAACAAGGTCAGAAATCTGTGCAGTGTCTCTTGACTCTACCGTCTAATCTCAAAAACAACGCGTATTGTTGGTAAAAAGCATAGTCAATGTGAAATGATTTGCATGAAATAGAGTAAAAGAAATTAGGGCTTAATCCAAGGTTTGTAACTCACTCTAACAATAAGTTTACCTTGAGTAATGAGACTTAAACCAACCATTCCAGTTATCATCAAAGGATGTGCTCCACTTCTGAAATAGTCCCAATAAAGCCTGGATGTCACAACTCCGATTCCCCGATCCTCCTTCGCTATCTCCAAACTCCTCGCTTCATTGGGCATAGCATGTGTTTTCTGGCATTTTTCAGCATCATCGTCTTCCCCCTTATCTTCCCTGCCGAACGGCTCAGATGAGTCCGTTTTGTCCTTCAGAGCTGCTTTATAGAGCGGGTCAATAGTTGTACTGATTACACCTTTTTCGTGCAGCTTAGGAAAGCGTCCCTTGTCGAGGACACGCCCCTTGTACAACACAATCACTTGATCAGCATTTTCCATGTGCTGTTGCTGATGAGAGGCAAACACAACGACTTTATCCCCTAGTAAATCTTTGATGCAGTTGTTAAAGATGTGTTGGCCAACTTTAAAATCGACAGCACTCAGTGGATCATCCAATAGATAAATATCTCCGTCAGCATAAACTGCACGAGCTAAACTTACTCTCGCCTGTTGCCCTCCACTCAGAACCTCGCCGCGTTCTCCAACAACTGCTTGATCACCATCAGGTAACTGCTTAAAGTCTTCTTTCAGAGCACAGACGTCGATTATTCTTTCGTACTTGGACTCCTCGAAGGGTTGACCAAACAGAATGTTTTCTTTTATCGTTCCTGAGAACACCCAAGCAGTCTGAGGCAAGTAAGTGACAGAGCCTTGATAATCAATCGTTCCACCGGCGTTCGGAATTTCACCAGCGATCGCTGAGAGCAGAGTAGACTTACCACTTCCAACCGGGCCGGTGATGACTGTTAAACTCTTTGAAGGTGCAAAGAAGTTGATATCCTCAAGAATAAATTCATCTTCACGATGCGTTTTTGCGTAGCTTAAATTTGACACGTATAGTATAATGGACCCTATATCTGTTACTTCACGAGACAGAGAAACTTTCTCCGTATTTTCCTCTTCCTTTTTCATATTACTGAAACTTTCGTTACCTGAGGTTCTTTTCGCTTTTTGTTGGGGCTCGTTGCTTTCATCACTCTCCGAGGCTTTTGACAGATTTTCCAAAAGAAGGAATTCTTCGATTCTTCCGAGTGAAACGTAGGCGTCATACGTTACCATTAAACCATATGTCATATTCAACATGCCACTCAATTTTATAACACCCATAAACGACAGCAGCATGAAAACATTGGCGGGCGTGAGGGTGTAGCCTCCAAGCACCATAGTAATTACTGACACCAGAGTGGCCAGTGGCGTTGCACTGTATAACAAGGCATCGATACTTGACTGAATGGCTGCCCTCTTCGAAATGACCCTGATTTCATTTCTGAAAAAAGAAGGTTATCATAAGTTATGTGAGCATTCTGTCGAACCAGCTCGTGGTCAGTGTTCTCTCTAATCTGAAATATTAACGAGGTGAGCGGGTGGCAAGCGCACCCTCATACCAGCGTATTAAAAAATAATACTAACTTGAAGACAAGTTAGACTCGATGAGATGTTCTACCCATAATAACAATCGATTATTCTCTGAGGTGGAGATGATATCCACCCCCTTTCACCGACACTGAGGTAAAAATGATTACAATATTTCCGAGCGCAACTCCCGCGCGAGTCGCTCGAAGGTGAATTGCAAAGGCTATTCGGAGTTTGAGTAGCCAATCATTTTCAGAGTGCACTTTTAACACTATCTACTCAGTATTTACTGAAATTTTTAAACTGACCGGCCAGTCCTGCGGTTATAATATGGGTTACAAGAGACACTTATTTTTTGTGAAAAGAGGCATTCTGATTGGCTGATACAGCGGTCCACAGACATTTTTTTTTTTTTTTTTTTTGGGGGGGGGGGGGCATGTTTAAACTGCCTAGCTAATAAAGCTCTCAGTGGAGACAAAACAGATTTTGGTTATCTATTTCCGAGGTTTGAATAATTTGGGTCAACAACTACGGGAATGAATAAAGCTAGTCGTTGGAGCCTACTTCTGAATAAAAATGATAATTTACCTTACCTTCTCACATGTTTTATCTTTCGTCCATATTCCTCCTCCCACGCATGCATTTTGACCGCGCGGATCCCGGAAACTACTTGATTCATTAGGGAAATTCGCTCATCGGATACTGTAGCTGTGCGCAAGCGCAGCTTAGCGTTAGCATAGGACAAGACGGCAAAGTATGGCATGAGTATACACATGAGGAACACACCCATAGCAGCCTGCCAACCAATCAAATTGTAGATAAGGAATATGACCCCTGCATAAGCAGGGACTGCGAAAATGGCTGTGAAAAAAAACTTGACTGTCTCTTCTTCCATTTTTTTAACATCATTGGATATCAGATCGAATAAGCGTCCGGCAGTGAATTTCAGTAACGTCAGCTTACTGAGTAGAAGCGTCTGAAAGAAAGTACAGGTTAAACATTAAAGAAGAAGTAGGTTCCATAAACCATCTGAGTTTAATCTCCTGCATAAAGATATCCATGAATGCGTTTCGAGACGAGAGAAACCAAACCTCTCCTAAGTTATCTTTAAATGTGTAAAAAGAGCGGCAACTCAGCCATTTTGAGTCTCGTTCAGAAGTGCGGCCGTATACGTTATGGTTTCTGTAGCCTACTTAACTGCAGGCTCAATAACTGTTTGTTTCTTCGATTATTTTGTTGGTGAGCAAGATTGTTTGCTCTCTCAGAAGCAGCAACTAGCGATGATGTTTTATAACCCTCTCCTTCTAGGCCTCCATGGCATAAGCCGATTGCAATCGATCAGATTTCTAAAAAAAAAATTATCCTATATCGGATAGATACTTGTGTTCAAGCTTGTTTGGCTTAATTTGGGGTGTTTAGGGTATTAGAAAAATCGGTTGAGCCTTCAAAAACTGCATAGAATGCTCTTTAAGATCGTGCCTACCTTGTGGTAAACCAGTCCCCTCAGGGCACTTCCTATTTTGATCCCTAATATTTCACATCTGTAGTCTCGCTGGTGCATACCAAGACCACCAATCAAACCATTGAGACACATAGCTAATGCGCAGGTGTAGAGCCGATAAGTATTCTCTGCCTCACTTGACGTAAGCTCAGAAACAAGATACCCGAGAAACAGTGGAAAGAGAAGGCGAGAAGTTGTACATAATACATTCCCCGTCAAAATGATGATAACATCTTTGGCAGAAAGCATATGAAACACGCTTTTCCAAAGTCTGGGCCTTTTCCCATTCATCTTGCAATCATGTTTCTCGCTTTCCCAGCTCTTTCGAAGCTTGTCGGTGACAAAACGGCCAGAGTTCTCCTCTGATAAGGGTAAAAAGTCATTTTGATCCAAAGGTCTTTGACTGCCTTCCTTAAGGACTCCGTTCATCCAACGAAAAAGAAGTGAAGATACAAAACTGACTTTTTTATCTTCATCAGCAGAGATTTTCCTGTAACCGCCTTTTGGTGCCATCACTTGAGACCTACAAAATACGTAGCCATTATTAGCATGTTCAACGCAACGGCCAAATGTCTTTGCATGTTGTTCCAGGATTTCAGAACTAACTTGCCCTCGAAGAGTTCTAAACTTACATAAAATCCAATAAGTCACGGTGTTTTGTAGAACATCGTGACTTCTATATAGCCTTAAATGGTATAGCCTAAAACAAAATAATAAATAATCAGGATACACGTCATTGAATAAGCTTTGTGCTCGAAGAGTGTCGAGTTTTCCTTTCTCTACTTTTTATGAACGTTTAAGCTTCACGTGACAGCGTTGCTACCCTTGTTTTTGTTTAAAATTTTGCGCGGGATATTTGCGCGCGGCCGGCCAAATTGATCCCCTTGCTTGGGTGAGCCTGTTGAGTTCCAGGCTCCCTCTAGATAGAAACCAAATAACGGGAGAACATTATCGTGCAATTATTTGAGGAAGCGGCGTGGAGCCAACTTTTCATTCAGAATGGATTTTCCACAATTTTTCGCCATTCTGCTTTCCTTCTTGTCTCCTTTAAGCAAGAACTTGTCGTATACATGACAAACTTATTAGTCATAAAAATAATCAAATTCCACTAAGGCGTAAAATAAAATTTCATATGCGAGAAAACGTCATTTTTTCTGAAGCTGAATATAACCGCACAATAGTGTAAAATTGGATACCTCTAGAAGTCGATTGCGTGATAGGTCATGAATGAATTTGTCAGTGTCTCGCGAAATGCAACAGTCGAAATTCTGGAGCCAACAAAGTGCGGTCTGTGCGGTGTGTACGGTCTGCACGGTCTGCGCGGTCTGCACGGTTTGCAGTCTGCAGTGTGCGTTTTAGCATAACATCTCCTTTGACCTAGCCCACTCAATCAAAGCTTTTAGCTAACCGATACATATACAAAATGTCAACACAGCGCTGTTATCGGCCTTGTAATTACAATCTATATGGATGGAATCGTACTGACAATTTCGTGTGAAAACTACTACGTTTGCAAGTGGCTGTGCGATAACAATTTGAGGAAGCTGCGACTCTATGTAGCTTACCTTGCAACTGTTGAAGTCCTAAATGTAATAACTGTCCTAAATGTAACAACTGTCCTAAATGTAATAAAGTCCTAATAAATGTAAGAACATTTGGTCCTAAATGTAATAAAGCCCTAAAAGTAATAACGTTCGGTCCTAAATGTAATAAGCTTCCTATGCAATCGTTTCACTGCGCTAACATTGAGATGCTTAAGTAACAGCTGTTGTACCAAAGAATCCTCTGACAAATATTCATGGAATATTGCGGGCTCACTGATATTAATCAGCGTCTTTTTATTTGCTAAAGACTTAGGTTGAGAAGCATTAGCTAAAAAACGTTATACTAATACTGATGTGCTTTTGGCATCAAATTGACGGACGCAAAAGCAATGAGAACGTTGACAAATAGTTCTCTTTATATCATTGGCTCAGACTCTTAAGTGTAACAGATTTTGACGATATACTTCTGTCATCAGTGCTGAAGTTAACATTTCATGAACCGAATTACAAGGAAAAGGAAGTCCACTGACTTATACATTAGACAAATTCTGGGCTCGGAAGGGTATATTTTGTACTGTCTTCCCTTGCCAGATTTGTACGGGTCTGCATAAAATATATTCATATGCGTTGTTGACCAAGCGTTAGGTCAAAATGGCTGGATATTTATGGACTGAGACGAAGTCTCGGTCCATAGAAAAGTAGAAAAAGAGCGATGCTGATATCCAGTAATCTTGACCATACAAGCTTGTTCAAGAGAGTTTGTATTCTCTTGGCTTAATCATTAAAGGATTCATTGTATAGCAAAAGATTTCGCTTTTATAAGAATCAAGAATGGCCTGTTTATTTCGAGAGCCGATGGTGAAAGCCAACTGTGTTTGCAGCACAATAAACCCAAGAGGGTCGTTTATTTTTTTATATGTATATGCAAACATTTTCCAAAAGTTAGGAACTTTGTAAGTTTTCTTACGTGGGATCAATACGGGGAATCCCGAGCAGGCGAGGGTGGGCCCCTCATGCCCGCTCAAGTAGCCAATCAGAACACAAGATTCACTTCATCTTGCCTGCGTGCGCACTGAAGGAGTTAAAGGATTGCATTGGAGGCTTATTACATTTCGGGCTTTATCACATTTAGGACCAAATGTTATTACATTTAGGACAGTTATTACATTGAGGACTTCAACAGCAACTTTGTCTCATTATACAAGAATTCACCAAGATACCGGTAATATTGGCGTTCCTTGCTATTTGCACGAGCGAATAGGTTTTGAGAGATTTCTAAATATACCAAAAGAGTCGACCAGACGATGTTCCTGTGTAATAAGACAGATGTCGTATTTTGAAACGAGAGGATCACCAAATTTCCCGAGAGCCCCTCTTCACCACGCTGAGTGAAAGGGGACTTGTTTTAAAAGTTTTGAAATGTATTTTCAAATAAATTTTAAAACTCTAGGGACAGAAAACAAGTTGAAAACGGACTAACTGCCCGGTAGCCGGACACGGTCTCCAGAAACGTAAGTACTAAAACATGGAATGACCTACAACCACCTAAAACCACTTACAACCACATAAAACCACCTACAGCTAACTAAAACAACTTAAAAACCACCTATAATCAATGATTTTTGAAAATACTTGAGCCTGCGACCCTCTTGAGACATTGACTGGTCAGCAGCCGCCTTCTATTAAAGGAACAATGCTCCTTTCCAGAAGCCTTTCGCGCGCGTCAAAAAAAAGACTAACCGAAATCGGAAACCGCGCATGGAAAGCCTCTGGTAAACCAAGAGCTAAAATCGGAATAGTAATAGTAAAATAGTATTCTGAAGGTGGTTGTAGGTGGTTTCAGGTAGTTTTAGGTGGTGTTAGGTGGTGTTAGGTGGTGTTAGGTGGTGTTAGGTGGTGTTAGGTGGTGTTAGGTGGTGTTAGGTGGTGTTAGGTGGTGTTAGGTGGTTTTAGATGGATCTAGGTCATTCCATGTTTTAATAACGACCTCTCAAGACGACGAAGTGCCCAGAAGTCAGAATTTTTCACAGAATTTCCACCAAAATTAAGGTTCTTTCAAACTTCGTAGGAATATCAGTTGATTACTTAGAATTGTTAAGCGATTCCAAAAATTATCTTGCTCTTTTCGTGGACAAATTCTTCGAGCTTGTAATATTGCTGGGTTCTCGACGCTTCTGATCAGATTGCCAGGCACGGCCACGTAAACGCTAAATGCCCGCCAGTCAGAGATTTTCTCCACAGTGCCACTAAATGATTCCTTGAAACCTCTATACAGAATCAGAGTGTTTGTTTAGAAATGTCATGCGATTCTAAAATTTTTACTTGGTTTTTTAGCAGACAAATTCTCCGAGCTAGTGAAAAAGCTAACATCAATGCTCTTTCAATTTTTTGGCGGTTTAATTAAGCTCTTGGTAATTACATGATCAAGGTCCATTCAAATCTGTCTGCCACCGTTGACCACCGTTGTAGTGTGAGTGGAAAACATTCATTTGGCTAGAAATAATTTGGGAATGTTGTCTGGAAACTTTTTCCAATGAAGAATGGACCGCAATATGACTTTAATTAATGGTTCATATCGAAATTTTCGGCTTCAGTTGTTATCTGAATAGTCCCGCGCCATAGATTCTTTCGTTCTAATAAGTGTGACAAATCATTCATTAAAAGTCTGAAGTTCTGCTCAAAGTCTTCTAGCAGTATAGTAAACTGGACCTTAATTTCAATCGCACTGAACTTGACTTGCGCTGATTCTGGACTCCTCCGTTTGGAAATGTTGCCTGAAAACTTTTTTCAAATGAAGAATGGACCGCAAATAGGTTTTATAAATCATTCATTAAAAGTCTGAAGTCCTGCTCAAAGTTTTCTAGTAGTATAGTAAACTGGACCTAAATTTCAATGGCACTAAACTTGACTTGCACTGATTCTGGACTCCCCCAAATAAAAATTATTTAAAACAAAAACGTTCCTCAAAAGTGACATTAGTCTCTAGACTTATCACTGTTTTCCGTGGGAGCGATTATAACTCACCCTCCCCTTTTCCTAAGGTTTCCCTGTCATACCGTAGATGTCATTGTACTCCCTTTTGCTGGGATGCACTTTGAGAGTGAAGTGTATTCAATTTATAAACACAGAAACCAAGCACCTTGAAGACCCGTAACTTTAAGCGCTAATTCCTCCCTTTGATAAATGCGTGCGACGATAATATCTATCATGACGAGGGCTCTTCACTAAACGAAATGTTGATGATGATAAACTTGTCATGTTCTCTGTTCACGAAACAAGCATCAAAATGCAGCTTGTCTACATCCGTAAAATCTTGACGCAGTAAATTCGCAATTTAAGATACAGAGTCGAACCAGTATTTAGTGGTTACCTACGGGGAATAACGGGTTTACCGTTGGAAAACGACAAAAAAACGTCATGATCTGTCATAATAGACCACTTTGTTAACAAAAACTCGCCCAAAAAATCTGCTTACATTGAGTCTGGGAGAAAAACGTGGATTCACCCACGGGAATAACGGGTTTACTGCTTGAAATAGGTTGACCGTTGGAAAACGACAGAAAAACGCCATGTTTTGTCATAATAGACCACTTTGTTTACAAAAACTCACCCAAAAATTCCATTAAAATTGACTCTTGGAGATAAACGTGGACTTAAAAGTAGTATTCTGAAGGTGAAGGCGCTGTCGTCCACAAAATGATCACTGTAGATTACTTCGTGGTTTTGCTAGAGTGTTGGGAACTGTACGATACGTTAATTATTCTTAGTTTGATTGACATTTCTAAGTGATTTTCTTCGCTCTGACGAAGGGCTAAAACTCAGAACGTTAATTTAGAATCTCTTTTAGACGGCCAATTAGTAAAAACATGGCTTACCGTTGATAAGGATACGTAAAGCTTTGCTCTTCAACCTTGCCTCTTACATAAAGGTTCGCTTGCCGGCCATTGCGGCGACATTGGTTTAAGGAAA